ATTTAAGAAAATATGTTTACAACTAGTAGTATCCTGAATTAATTTAGCTTTCAAAGTGGGTTCGTATTTTTTTTTTTTTTTTAACTCAGGGTAAATCCTAGGCCTATGGTCTAGACTAATCTTTGGGGAAGGCGCAGCCCATAGATATACCCTCTATGTGAATATGCAAATGGGCCGAAAATAAAGGTCCATATCCATGTGGGTGTCTAAGACAATATGATTTAGTTTCTCTCAACAGGTGGATCGAATCTGGAACATGTTGGCATCCACAGTGTCCCGGACGATTTTCTTTGGTTTTGGTGAAATAAGTATTGCGATATGGTGTGATTGATGGTACTGTAAGCTGTGTAGCTTAAAAGCAACAGAGTGACATTGTCTATAGATTATGCAATAACCATTTGTGACTCAAACTTGCTTCAAAGTCTCAATTTGTATCTAGCTACTTATATACCATACCAAAATATACCATTTGTGACACATATCCATAAAATAAAATTATCTTTGGCTACGGTGTTTAATTTAGGGTTCTATATATACACATGCTTCGATCTCACAAATGCTAAATTATTGTAAATCCACATATATAGTGGCTCGTATACCTGAACTGATCCATTGTAAACCTACGCAAGGGTAAAATCTCACACACACAAACAAAAAAAAAATCTAACACATTTCTATTTTTTTTTTTAGAAAAATTTCAAAAAATGTCATTTTTCCAGTGCCACTTTACAAAAATGCCACACTTTTGAAATATTTACAAAAATGCCTCTTTTTCAAAATTATTTTTTCTTTATATTATTTATGTTTGGGTTAATTATGGGGTTTAATTATGAAAGTTTAGGGGGGGTTTAGGTATCAAAACATTTTTTCGTGTTTAGAATTTTAAGATATAGGGTTTAAAAATCTATAATTAGTGATATTTTTGTAAATGAACATTCCTAAATGACATTTTTGGAAATGTGCACATAAAAAATGGTATTTTTGCAATTTTTCCATTTTTCTATTGGCTTAATTAAGTCAGAATATGTTATTTTGACAGGGTTTTATGTTTAGAAAAAAAATTATGTGAGCATCACATTGATCGAACAAAGGAAAAAGAAAAAGACACTTTTCAAAATAGAGCATGTTGGGGTTTTTCTAGTTATGTAAACTATGTTGTAATTTTTATATATAAATGATTGATAACAGAAAAAAAAAAAAAAAGATCATGTACCTGTTATATTAAAATACACATGATTAAACTAAGCCAAATTTTCAACAGTCCTAACTGAACCAAAATGAATGGATTTCGTTTAATTTTAGATCTATTCATCACATAAAAAAAAATCGAAAATATCTTAACTGAATCAAGCTCAAATGGCAGACCTAATGATATTTTTTGGATTATATATGAATCTCTATTATTGGGATAACATATAGATCTTCCTATTTATTCAATATAAAGTTTATACACTAAATGACTATATGTTGGAAGTTTTATCGCAAAGATAATGTGCTCATAAAATCATAAATTAGCGTGGAGAATGATATGTAGCGTGATATATAAATAACCATGAAATTGTAATGTCGCGACCACCGTTTGTGGCCCACGTCTTCTCCGTACATGGATCCACTTTCATCTGACGACCGACACGTTAGTGTGGAATAAGAATGGAAAAAATTTTCAAACCGAATTAAAATTCCGAACCAAAATTCTTGATCCCGAATTGAAATTCCCGATTCAGAAACCAAAACGAACTATAAAATAACCCGAATGGAATATATATTTATAAACCGAATTATCTTATTCCAAACCGAATTAACCAAGCTAACCAAGATTTATTAAAAAAAAATAATTAAATTTCTATTTATATATTTTAAGTATTGACAATATTAGTTAAAATTATTTACATTTTGATTCCGTATGGAATCTATTTTATACAACCCAAAAACCCGAACATAACTATCATTTAATT